ATATATATTTGCCTTGAGTGCAAAGGGTTGTGCACGATAGGGGAAATAGATTGGATTTGTTGCCGTGTGCACTCATGTGCACAGGTTCTTAACTGCTTTTGCATGCAGTTAGGACAATGGTGTCTACTATCAGTGAATAGGTGAAGACATAAGCATTCCAATGATACTACTGTATCCATTATATGTTATTTGTGAAAGATGCTAGAATTGTCAGAAGATATGAGTATGTGCAGTAAAGCTTATGGAGGAGTCCAGAGGTAGTTTGGTGCATTGGAGAAAGATATGTCACATCGCTTCTCTCTCCTGGGACTGCCTGGGGGTATGCGGGGCAGGTCAGCCTACCAAGTGCGAAGTCACATATACTGTCCTCTACCAGTTTTAGGAAGTTCCATTACCCATACGCTACACAAGAATTGTTCAGTGATTGGCTTACTATGAGAGCTGTCATCTCATTGGTTTAGGCATCTTGGCCTGCTATACAAAGGAACCTGCCCACCAGCTATGCTGTTGAGGCTGTACTCACCTAATTCTACTCACAAAGTTGTGCTTTCGAGGGTTGAGCTTCGGCTCTTTGGTCCTGTCTCTTTAACTGTCAGTCAACTGTGTTTGCCATTTCATGCCATGAGTCCATGTTATATTGACAACCCTTAACCCTTCAACTGCTCGGCTTCCATATACTGTATGACACCCCCCCAGTGTGCAGGAAATAAATTCTCTGGAAAAAATTATTTTTATTTTTGAAAGTGTCAAAAACCCTTCCCTGAGTATGGGTATAGTAACGGAAAGTTAAAATTGTACTTACTTTGGCTGCTATGGAGTCAGTAAGTTGGTGCGTGACGTCATCATTCCCCGTACGCCCGTGGCATAAGCTCCCAGGGCCAGTAGGGCACCCGAGGTGGGATGCACGCACTGCTGCGAATATATCTTTGTTCAATTTTTGCGCACAGTTTCATTTACATTTTATCAGTTCTTACGTGCCAATCCTATGTATAATGAACACGTACACTATATTATGGGAGTAGAACATCCGTACTGTCCGTAGACACTGTGTTACGTGCATCACAAAAGTGTTCACTTATCCTGCACATATTTCCAATGTATCATGCTAATATATTTATATTTATAGTCTATATACACACTATACAGTATCACACACTATATACACACACTATGAACACACTCAGTACTCCGCGAATGTGTGATATGCAGCAAAACAGCCAACGGGGCAGAGTAGCACCTTGCACTCCACGCACCAGGTGCTGATGCATCTTCCCTTTTGTTCTCTGCGGGTAGTGTTCTTGCATACTATACACGTACGTTTACCCTTCTCCCGTGATGCAGTGCCTGGCATATACTCGAGCACGTGTACTCCGAAGTTCTCGTTACCCCTCAGTCTGTCTGGTGCTCCGTGTGGCATTGTTGCTTGCACCCCGCGCAGTGTAATGGAGCCCTCCTTGCCACACTTTACAAGCAGCTGTGACACAACACCTGCACTGAACGTACGTATTGACGGTTTCCTGCCAGATTTTACCAGGTACATATTGAAGCAGTTGAGCACAGCAACATCTATTAGGTGAAAGAAGAACTTTTTCATCCATTTCACAGACTTGCGCACGTACTGCACTCCACCAAGCATCATGTCACATTTATCGACGAGGAGCATGTTCACACTGTAGTCTATGACACAGTTCGGTTTATACATGAGGAAGCGCGTCTGAAAGTGGACTTTGCCACTGTCCAACATGGCACCGGTGTGGATCGTAGTCAGCATATTCACCTCACGTCTGTCCTTCCACCGCACTGACAGCATATTGTCACACTTGCACAGCTGGCAATCACCCACTGCTATACCAATACCGAACACTGGCATTTCCTTCCTGTGGGCCTTCACAGTGCCATATACGCCGGTGTTGTGGGCAAGGAGGTATCTGGTCAACAAGGGGCTGGAGTAAGAGTTGTCGGTGCACAGTACATGCCCCTTGTTCAGCAACGGTTCCATCAGGGTTTTTTACAACACTGCCAGAGAACCCATGTTCATCGTGAGCTGGTATGTCGACATCGGTACCAGAATACAATATCATGTCCAAGACCATACCAGTCTTACAATCGCACAGCACGAAAAACTTCAGTCCAAAACGGTGCTGCTTTGATGGAATGTACTTCTTGAATGCCAGTCGCCCCTTGAACAGTACTAGTGATTCGTCAATAACCACATTCTGTCCAGGTACAAAATAATCCGTGAACTTCCCTCTCATGTCACTGAACACCGTCCGTACCTTCCAGTCTGTCGTTTCTGTCCTCATTTGCATTATTCTAGAAATGCAGGCACCTGTGAATCAAGAGGAACCTATCACGCGACATACTGGTTGAACACGGGCAGTGGAACTAGGCTGTCCTTGCTCCAATAATTCTGAATGACAGCTTTCTCGAAGTGCTTCATCATTTTGCTGAATGCCAGAAACACGTACATTTCGTCAACCGTTGTGTCTTACCATCGAGTGAGGCAGGTAAAATGCCAGCGTCTATGAGGCTGTGAGCGAATATGTTTGTCTCAGTCACAAGATGCGTCATGAATTCGTTGTCGAAATACGCCTGGAAATATTCCATTTCTGCCTTATCATCACCGGTATATGGGAATAATGGTGTAACACCAAAATCGGTAGCATCAAACGTTGGTATGTGAGGGACAAATGTGGCGCAATCCTCCCACACAAGTGCTCCCAGGGGCTTGGTGTTGGCGCCTACACCACGGCCAACAGCACCATGAGCACCAAAATCACGGCTATGTTGTCTGATGCTTGAGCTGTGTGAGGGTATGCTAGGCGATGAGGCAGATTTACATACCGTAGGCCTACCACGAACACCTGATGTTGAGGGGGCCACTATCATCATCGTCCAGTTGCTGTGAGACACGCTGCCGTCTGCCGCGACATGTTGCTGAAGCAACAAAACCCCGCCTGGTAACACCCTCTCTGCTTGTACTCAGGTCGTCCATACTACAGTACAACCTCAATTCAACGTACTATATGGGACCAACCCCAGTTTGTTGGAGTGTTGGATTCGTTGCAAGAGGTGACCTTCAGGAGGCGTTTGTGTCAGTGTCTTTTTCTTGTACACAATAAAAATGCATTATCATATTACATACTGTACCTATATATTACTACTCTACTAAAAAATACTGTACTGTAATTCATTCATTTACCTTATTGTTGGCGTTATGTCCGTGAAGTTTCGTGAAGTTGTGAATGCTCTACAGTAAATACATACTGCAGTGCATTAGGCCGTTAGCACTGTGTTGATTAAAAGTAGTTCTGCTGTATGTTGAGTACTACAATACAGTTTATGAAAACTATTGTACACTAAAATTACTGCAACTTTAATTTTAAGACTGTGTACACACTTAAATTTAACACGTGTTCTAACTGTTCACGCCACACATGATGTTTTTAGATGTTTGCATCAGCTTTGCTGGTGCTCGCTGGTTCTGGCTGCTGTTGTACCAGTGCTGGGTACAAATGTGCTCGTGCTGGGTACGGCAGTTCTTGTGCTGGGTACGGCGGTTCTCGTGCTGGGTACAGCTGTTCTCGTGCTGGGTATGCCTGTTCTCATGCTGGGTATGACTTCTCGTGCTTGGTACGACTGTTCTCGTACTTGGCACGGCTGTTTTTGTGCTGGGTACGGCTGTTTTCGTGCTTGGTACGGCTGTTCTCGTGCTTGGTACGGCTGTTCTTGTGCTGGGTACGGCTGTTCTCGTGCTGCGTACGGCTGTGCTCGTGCTGGTTGATTTTCTGCTACTAGTTCTTGCAAAATATTGCTTCATTTTTGGCATTAATAAGGCACTATTAGTAAGCCCCTTAGACATTTTGTTTTTAACCAAAGAGCTGTAGTCAAAAAATGGTCAATTCCACAATTATTCTTCCACCGGCGGATAAATACTGTACGTCAATCGCAGACAAAGCTAAGGGCACTGGGTGCATACTGCACGAACGCAGACTAGGTTATACATACAACCTCAGTAGGCTGGTATTTAAGATAAAAACTAAGTACTACCTAATAAACTCCATGTAACCTACCTTACACCCTGAATGTCAACCCATGTCTTGCTATTTTAAATTGGTTGAGAAAGGTACAACCTTTGACACGATTAGGAAGGTCATTTCATATTAAGAGTCACTTGATTTGTAGAGCATTTCAAGTTTGGTTAAGTTGCACTCTTGGAATATCAAATAGGTATTTGTTTCTGGTGTGGTACCCATGGGTTCTGTTACAACCTTCTAGGAAGCTTTTAAGATCAGGATTGACATTACAGTTCAGAGTTTTAAATATATAGAGTACACATGAGAGGATGTGCAGTGACTTAATATCCAACATATTCAAAGATTTGAGTAAGGGTACCAAGTGCTGTCTGGGGCCAGAGTTAGATATTGTTCTAATAGCAGCTTTGTGTTTAGTAATTAGAAGACGTTAATGATTTTGGGAAGTAGAACCCCAAGCACAAATACCATAAGTGAGATAAGGGTAGATGAGAGAGTAATAGAGCATCACCAAGGCAGGGTGTGGTACATAATATCTGATCTTAGAAAGAATGTCAACAGTTTTAGAATTTTTTTTGCGATATATTTAGAATGTGCCCCCTGGAAATTCAGCTTGTTATCGATGAGAACACCACAGAAATTTGTCATCTACTTTGTTACTAATTTGAATATTGTTTATTCTTAGATTAATTTGATTTGAGGATTTATTACCAAACAAAATATAGAAAGTTTTTTCAATGTTAAGGATGAGTTTGTCAGCAGGTAGCCAAAGATGGACTTTATTTAGTTCAATATTCACTGTGACATTTAGAGCAAGAGGGTCAGGACTGGAGAAAATGAAGGTTGTCATCAGCAAATAAGATTGGTTTAAGGTGTTAAGAGGCATTTAGAAGGTCATTAATGTAGATGAGAAAGAGGAGGGGGCCAAGTATGCTACCTTGTGGAATACCAATGTTGATAGGCAGGATGGGAGAAATGGAATTATTCACAGAAACATACTCGTGCCTGTCTGTAAGGTAAGATTGAAGGTATTGGAGGGGGTGACCTCTGACTCCATAATGTTGTAATTTAAGAAGAAGGCTTTGGTGGTTGACAGTGTCAAAAGCCTTACATAGGTCAACAAATAATCCAACAGGGAACTCATTTTTATCAAGAGCTGCAAATATCAAGTTAATCATACTAATAAGTGCATCGTTAGTGCTTTTTTTTAGGTCTGAAACCATATTGTCAAGAGCCAAGTATATTGTGTTTGACTGGATAAGAGTAAAGCTACTTGTAGATTAGTTTTTCAAATATTTTTGACAAGTTTGGCAAAATTGATATAGGTCTGAAATTGTTGACATCAGTGAGATCACCACATTTATGGACTAAGTTACTCTCACTTTTTTTTTAGAATATCTGGGAAGGTTTGGAGTTCAAGTGATTTGTTGTAGAGCAATACAATGGCGGGAGCTAAAAATCTGGAGGCTTTTTTGTAAATTAGAGTTGGTATCTCAACAAGGGCACTAGACTTTGTTTTAAGGGAAAAGGATTATCTTCTCATTAACATCAGTGGAATTAGCGGGAGTCAGGTACAGAGACTGTGGATAGCTACCTGTAAGGTAGTCCTTAACAGTAGTTAGGGAGGATGGAATATCATTAGCAAGGGATGTCTCAATGGATGAGAAGAACCTATTGAATTCAATAGCAGAATCAGAGGCTGAAAGCACACAATCATTATTGGATAGGAGTATTTTTTTTATTAATTTTTTTTTTATACTAATACTGTATTTGTGAAATAGTGCTCCATGTTTTCATAATGATGCCCTTAATTTGGGTAAATTTATTATCATAGTACAATATTTTATTTTGGCCCAAAATTCTTTGGAGACTACTCCTAACCTATACTTCTTCTCAAGGTCATGTTTCTGGAGGGAGCCCCGTCGGCTCCCCAGAGCTTTACCAGGCTGATATGCTAATGTCAGACTTTGGCACCAGTCATGTGTATGGAGTTCTAGGGTCTACCGGGGACCACAGCCAAAACCTGGCCCCCTCAGAGAGGCAAGGGGAGCAATGGCCTATAGAAACCCCCGTGTGGTTGGAAGCATTCTATGTTTGCAATCGACTGGGTCAAGCATCCAGAAAGGTAAGCATTCCAAAACAATCCCCTATTCTGGTTAAAATTGCTATCTTAAGCCGAACTAGTGGATAGAACTCCCCAACAGAAAACAAGCACACTAGTATGACGTCACATGTCACCGCGCCACTGTCTGCTCAGCTCTCCCCTTCCCGGGAGGGGGAAGGGGAAGCCCCAGACCTCCCACACTGGCTATCCACCCATCAGTTCTTCGGCTGATGCTATAGGCACCGGTTGTGTGCTCCGGCTCCAGTAGTTGTTTCAGCACTGTACCTAGAGTGTGGTGTCTGTCTTCTAGGTGGTGCGTGAGCTGGGAGTGAGTCTCCAGTACTCGGGCTGCATGCGCCTAGGGTTCCCTTCCCTAGGTGCCCTGTAAGTACTGCCCTTGGGGCTTGGGACCACCTTCCACAAGTTCCTTGGGTCCTGCCCCTGCTAGGCCGTTTACTGCTTGGTTTTCGGCCACTCTTTGTTTGCTCGGGTGTTCTGTCTCCCTTGTTTGCCTTAGAGTAAGGGGCAGTTTTGCACTGGTGGGGTGCAGGGTACTGTGCAGCTTGTCTTTACCAATCATGGCGGCCGGCTCTGTTCCTCTTGGGTACGCTGTCCTCTTGCGGGGTTTTCTTTTTCTTTGTTTATCTACCTGGTGGGGGGTCTGCCTTCGTTCTTGCTCCTTGTGTCCCTTGTGTTCTGAGTATTTTTCTGGTGGTGCCCCCTGCTAAGTCCCCGTGAGTGTACACGTCCTGGGGGTTCAGCTCTTAATAAGTTGTTTGGTAGCTTTGGGCGCCGGTTAGCAGTACCCTACCTGGGATTACCTGAGCGCGAGTCCTCTTATAGTAAACACTCGGGACCCGTGGGAAACCCCTGGGGGCGCACGGGTCCGATGGATGTGACCCCAGAATCCCCCCTCGCTTCCAGAGAGTTTTAGGGTTGCTCTCACCCCTTGTCTTTGGGTGACTCTGTTTTGCCTCTGTCTGCTGCCTGTGGGGTCGGTGACACCTTCGACCCAGAGTCCTGCGAGTTTTGGGGAGAAAAACCCCCACGAGGTCCTACAGGGCCAAAGCACCCCAAGTCAGCCCCTCCCCAGCCCCGAGAACCTACAGAACAGGCCCCGGGGCCGAGCCGTCCCCCAAAGCCCCGGCCATACCAGAAAACTGGGGCAGCCGCGGAAACACTAAGGAAGGAGGCCCACTGGCAGACTCTTACAACACGGCTGGAGGAACAGGCTCAAATGCCCCCGTCGCTACCCCGGACGGGGAATTCCCCGAGTCTCAAAACCATCAAACCCCGCCCCAAACCCACAGATGGTAAGGAACCGGATGCAGGCAGGAAGGGGGGATCCAGGGGAAAGCCAAGGGGGCGTTGAAGGAACCGAAGCAACCAACACCCCCAAGTCCCAACACGAACCAAAACGGGGCAGCCCCGGGGCTCTCGGGGAGCAAACAAACGAGAGCGTCGCCGCTTGTCATCCGATGTCGGAATTGTTGGTTTTCCGGGGGTCCCGGGGTGGATCTTCCCGGAAAGGTCGTGCCAGGGCTCGGGGTTCCTCTCGTCGTGGTAGGCCTCTGGTGTCAGGTTTGGGTTTGGCTCCTGTGGACCCTCCCTCGTCTGGTCGGCACAGTGTTCGCGCTGTGCGGGGTTCTGGGTCTGGTAAGGGTCGCCGGCCCTTTCGCGGTTTGCCCCATTGACGGGGCGATGGGGGGGGGGGGTGGCTTGCACTGTTTGCCCGTGCCTGGTCCCATGATTCGTGGGCCTTTCGGGTCGTGTCTCGCGGCCTGCGGTGGCGTTGGGTGGCCCCTCCCCCCTTGGGGGGGGTCGGGGCTGGCAGGGCAGGTTTCTTCCCCTGCGCTCTGTCGAGTTGTCTTGGAGTGGGTATGCTTGGGCGTCGTCGAAACGACGTCGTCCCTCAGATGGGTTTCCCGTCTGTTTCCGGTTCCGAAACGGGACTGCGCGGACCTGTGGTTCTTGAGGTTATCTTGAGTTACCGTGATGATTTCGGGGCTTTTTAGTGTCCCCGTGGCCCGGTCCTCGACCAGGCCTCCACCCCCAGGAAGCAGCCCGTTATAGCTGACTAACACCCAGGTACCTATTTTACTGCTAGGTAACAGGGGCATAGAGTGAAAGAAACTCTGCCCATTGTTTCTCACCGGCGCCCGGGATCGAACCCGGGACCACAGGATCGCAAGTCCAGCGTGCTGTCCGCTCGGCCGACCGGCGCCCCATTCTGGACTTGTCCCGTCTGAACCCCTAAGTTCATTGCCCCTCCTTTCGGATGACTACGCTGTCTCAGGTTCGGCTCCTCTTGGAGCTGGGCACTTGGATAGTGTCCCTGGACCTCCGGGACGCTTATTGGCATGTCCCGATTCATCCACGGTTCAGGGACTGGCTCGGTTTTGTTGTGGGGCGTCTGAGTTACCACTTTCGTTGTCTCCCGTTCGGGTTGAACCTGGCACCTCGCGTGTTCACGCGCCTTACACGGGTTGTGGTGGCTTGTTTGCGTCTCCTAGGTGTTTGGGTGTTGGCCTACCTCGATGACTGGCTGGTTTGGGCTCCCAGCCGGTCAGCTTGCTTGCTTGCTAGCCAGAGATTTGGTTCTTTCCCAGCTCGCCGGGTTCGGGTTCTTGGTGAACTGGAGGAAGTCCCATCTGGTTCCCTCTCAGGTTCGGTCTTGGCTTGGCTTGAAGAGAACGCAGACGACACTATAAACGCTGGAAAAAAATAACGGAACTGCTTATGCAGACACAAATTTCCTGTCAAAGAAGGAATAATTTAAATAGGGAGATTGAAGAAATCGAGCGGAAATTGAAACACTCATATGAAACTGAAGAAAGGCAGTGAAAGCAATTCAGGAAATAAAGAAAAATCCAAAATATTTCTTCTCATATGCGAAATCAAAAGCAAAAACCACTGCCAGTATTGGACCTATTCATACAAGTGAAGGTTCATACACGGAGGATGACAAAGAAATTAGTGAAATCCTAAAAAAGCAGTATGAGGACATGTTTAGCACTCCAATAAACAAAATGAAAGTGGAAGATCCAGACAATTTCTTTATGCGGGATATTCAAACCCCTGTAAATATAACTGATATCAACACGAGCGCACTAAATTTTGAAAGAGAAATTGAAAACATGCCCATGCACTCGGCCCCATGTCCAGACTCATGGAATTCAATATTTATAAAGAAATGCAAAGTGCCGGTAGCACAGGCACTCAGTATAGTGTGGAGGAAGAGCTTGGACACGGGGGAGATACCAGATACACTTAAAGTAGCAGACATAGCCCCTCTACACAAGGGAGGGAGCAAAGCATTGGCAAAGAATTATAGACCAGTTGCACTAACATCGCACATCATAAAAGTATTTGAGAGAGTGATTAGGAGTCAGGTCACCAATTTCATGGAGACCAATGACCTTCACAACCCAGGCCAACATGGATTTCGAGCGGGAAGATCGTGCCTCTCACAGCTACTTGAGCACTACAACAAAGTCACTGAGGCATTAGAAGAAAAACAGAATGCTGATGTGATATACTCGGACTTCGCAAAGGCTTTCGATAAATGTGACCATGGCGTGATATCACACAAAATGAAGTCAATGGGAATAACCGGTAAAGTAGGACGCTGGATACTCAGTTTTCTGTCAAACAGGACTCAGCGAGTAACGGTCAACCATATATAATCTAGTCCAAGTGCAGTTAAAAGCTCTGTACCTCAGGGTACAGTCCTTGCACCGCTGCTTTTCCTTATTCTCATATCAGATATAGACAAAAATACAAATCACAGCTTCGTATCATCCTTTGCAGATGACACAAAAATCAGTATAAAAATTACCTCGGCTTTGACAGACATTGAAAAACTTCAAGCTGAGATTAATAAAGTTTTCGACTGGGCATCAGAAAATAACA